GCTGGCTGGCTAAATTTGCTTTTGGTCTGATTCAGTTGATTGGTTCGACGGGTCCTAAGTTCGACGTCTGACCCAACAGACGGTCTTACCTTAGTTTAGGTCGACCCAAATTAGAGTTTGGTTCGTCTCGTGAAAAGTTCGACGTTTGGATTAGGCCTTAGAAATACAGTCAAACGTGTATTCACCTCTCAAAGGCGACTCCATTGCCCAAAGTATCAAAACCGGTTTTAAGTAAGAAAGCGCCCATTCAATCTTGAAGTTTTGGTGATTGCTCTTCATTTACAAAAAAACTGCTACAGTCACGAGTACCATGATAAGCTACGTTTACTTTGGAATGGTAGACACACTTCGTTAACTATCATCTACCAAATGATACAAACACATTAAAAATTACCTTAATCATTTGCCTTGTTATAAGGATTGGCTTGAAAGCTTGTTGAGACTAAAAAGCAAAAAAACACAACGTATGTATAGCATGTAGTTTACACTAAACACGGTAGTTGGATATTCTCGGGCATTCTTTTTTGTGTCCCTTCTATTTACAGTCTAAACTCAAACCTGATCCTTCCCTTGTATTAGGCAAGAGATGACATCAGAGAAGCCCCCCACCCCTCCCTTTGACTGAGACTGGGAACAAGCCCTTTCCCCCCAGCAAATTCTATATAACTGAAGCTTGATTAATAGAGGAACTGAAAGCTTTCCACATTTGCCAAACAAAGAACTGCTATCTCTCTTTCTAAACTTATTAAAAATCAAGATATAACGAAAACGCCTATTTTGCTCCAAAAAGTGGACGTCCTCCACAGGACACCTAGATGTTCACCGGGCTAAAAACTTCCCCTTATCCCCCCACCCCCACCCCACCCCCGCGTTCTCAAGCCTTTCTACATGTACCTTGGTTGTACCAGCTGTGCTTTCCTGTCTGCTGTTATCTGCACCATTTCTTTTGAGAGTTGCCATATGTTCTAGAATCTCTATTTCACCTGAGGATTTAAAATTAAGGTAATGCTAAGATTACTGAATTTTTCAAGGCTTCAGTGTCTTACGATAACTTCTTGGATGTTACGATATACTGTATGGTACATTTTTTAATTAGCTACTAGAGGTCATCTCCGTCTGTATATTATGTTAAATATAAACAACTGATATTTTTGTCATTATAGAAGGTACATCCCAGCTATCTAGAGGCTAGCTTCTGCTCCTAAGGAAAGTATACAGATCATATATTCAACTTACTATGCAGACTTGTGATGTGTTCCACGGCTTTATTTACCCAAAACTTTAACAGCAGAACATAGTGGTTTCTCTGTGAAGACAAAAAAGATTCATCACATTTTATCACATACAGTTTACAAAAATAAACATTCCAATTATTGATCTTGATTTTTCAAACATCTGAAGTCATTTTTCACTGTTTTAATCATTCTTTCATGATCAGTTAAGTGTGGAATACCTGAATATCCTCATCTAAAGTAACTTTTGATGGATCGCTGATAAGTGACTTGAGTTCCTTCAAAAACAAAAAGTGGACGGTCAGCTACAAACAGTATTTCTTCGATCTAAAAAAATTTTCAACATGGAATGAAGGTGACGTGAGCTACAGAAATTGTAAACCATCAATGTACAGTACCTTAATTCTCAATAACTACCAGACTGTAAAGCTTGCAAAATTGACAAAATCTATTTCTGTACTTCTGATCTTTTTTGAATGCAAAATTCATGACCTCAACACGAAACACGGGAAAAAATTCTACCTTATTTCACCAGTCTCAGGTCACAGAGAAATTATGTGACGAAAAATTTTCCGCTACCTTAAGTCTTCTTTCTTGTTCTTTTTGTTCTTTGTATCTGGCTATTTTTTCTTGACGACTGTTGGCCATTTGGCTGATACTTGTGCTGTTTGATTCAACTGAACTGGAATTTTCTGTGTACCTGGAGAGGTCCTGAAAAACACAACAGAGGATTAAAGTAAGATAACATGCAGTAATAACCTGTTTTAAAAGTCCTTAAAACGTTTTTCATTTCACTCATTTTTTTAATTGGTCTTTCAAAGATTACAAAATTATTTTCTCACTACCCACAAATACAAAACGTCTAGACTAGTCTAGACGGGCAGTGTCTATAAGAAATATATACTCCTCCCTGTCTTCTCAGCATGCAAATGCACAATATGTACATATTTCAAAGAACAAAACCTCTTTATACGTTGAAGATGATGCAACTTGTTTTTTCACTCTCACTGACATTCAAAAACCTAATTAAGGGCTGGAAGTAACGGGGCTTATGGAAATATGGAAGACTTCTCACGAGAACAAGTTTGTGGGTTTTTTTGGGAGGAGGGGAGGGAAGGATTAGGATAGGCTTATCAGGAAGATTTTGAAGTTTTAAGATTGTCCAATTCTCTAATATAGTTGTTAGCCTGTCTCCAAAAGTGGCAGATCAGAATGATAGCCTCTCAGTTGATTGTACATGTAGCACTGATGACCACATAAGGAAACCATGTGTTATTCCAGAAAACAATATCCTGACTATATCATGACTATTCAGTTCCTTATGAAACTAATCAAACAATAATAACAATATTATTATTAAAGTGAAAAATATAATTTAGACCTTAAGATGCGACAACAGTGACGGCAACATGAATGTCAAAAGAGCAACTGGATTAACAAGCAAAACAACACGCACCATGCTTTTGTACATTGCTTTGCCATCACTGCACAACTGCGACATGAAATTGCCTAATTTCATGCTTTATAAAGGGCGTAATCAAGCAATCTCAACATTTTCTTTTTCTTTCTGAACTTGGATAATATGGTTCTTGGGTATTCAACTCCAGGAGAGTTCGCCCACATTTGATAAAAGTAATTGAGATGGAATAATCATGACAAAGATTTTAAAAAATGAGAATTCACTTTTTAGGCGACATTTTTGCTGCCCTTGTCATCCTCTGATTTTAATAATAATTATATATTTATATCCACGCTATTGACCATTTCTTGGGAAAATTTCTGACAACTGCTGGGAAGCATGGGATAAACAAAAGAGAAACCCCTTGTCTCGTACATCCGCAGGTTGATGCACAGTCACTAATTCCTTTTATTTATGAGCTCCAGTCAAAGAAACATGTAAATAATTTTGCCAATAATTGCATTAACTCGGCTAAAAATAAGAAAACAACTCAGGTAATATACTTACAATGTCTGTCACTCCATAGTTTTTGCATCTTTTCAAATAATCTACAAAATATACCTGCAAAGGAAAAGCATAAACAAAGATGTCATCAAACAAAATGATACAGAAAACGACATTTCAAGGGCTGAAAAAAGTGAAACAATAAAGACACTTGTAGGGAACCTATGAGACAATGTAGATAACATAGCTAAGCTCTGAATTGTCTTAACTAGACAAAATAATGGTACATGCAGTTATTCTGTTACAAATAGTTAATGTGAGTCCCGAGACTCATCTTGTAAAAAATCATGAGACCCAGTCCAGAACCAATGAGTCCCAGTTCGAAAAACGATGAGTCCCAAATTGAAAATGCATGGGCCTTTTTGCAACCAGACAGTTAATCTGAAAACAGACTCCAAAACTCTTTACACTGTCTTTAGTACAGTTTACTAAAATTAAAAGATAGTCCTTCTATTTAAAGCACAAAAAAGACTAAAATAAATATGCATCGTTAAATAACAAACACAATAACAGCCACAGAAATCACATGAACAATATATTCTACAAAAACATCTTCAGATCAATTGATTGATCTTTGTGTTCTACGAGACACCTGCCATGAATTATTTTGCATCTTTCCAGGACCAACAATTAAATTCCATGATTTTCCAGGCCTTGAAAATGAAATTTTTACATTTCATGACTTTCCAGGTTTTCCATGATCTGTACAAACCCTGATTTACAATATACCTTAGAAATATTCAGTATAGTCAGTCTGTCAGGGCTCATTTGTCTGAGAAACAAGTCTCCAAGAAATGCAGGCAGCAACAGAAATCTAAAAAAAATTAAAATATTTGAAAGAGTATCAGTTTTACCTTTCTGGAAATTCATAAGCAGCTGGAAAATAGAAAGGTGTCTGAATAAGAATGAACCATTTCTCTCACAAACCTGCCTCAATTAAAAACATGCAGTCAAACCTCAATGTATGACCAGCTCTTACAACAAATCACTTTTCCAAAACACCAAAAATTTATTAAAATTAAAGGGGGGAGAGGGCACACACAATGTAGGTGCTTCCTGGGAGACATTCATGAATTCTAGAAATATGGAACACCCAAAAAAAAAAAAAAAAGAATAGCTACAACCCCAGATAAAACTGTTGAGGCACTTTCAAGTATTTTGTAATAATTCCACACCATACTACAATCTCCTCTAAATGGAACAAGTCACCCTCTTCCCTAGTCCCTCTCTTCAAAGTTGTTTTTGTCTAACAGCTCACATGTGCATCCCTGGTGTTACTGCAAACAACACTGGAATTAACCCACCCATGTAGGGGAGAGGGTGAATTGTCCTTCAATTTGTGACAGTAAGCATATTTGTCAGGACAGCTGCAAAAAAATATTTTTGTAGTGTGTCTTAACCGGTTTTGTCTCAGGTTGTAGGTAAACACAGCAACAGAAAAGGCTAAGTTCAGTTTGGCTGTATTACTAACTTAAAAAACAAATTTGATTAATTTTTGCTAAAACTGTAAAAACTTGTTGGTTGGTCTCTTGGTATTTTGGGTAGTTGCCTTTTGGAGGTTCAACTTTATCAAAATTAATGATTTCATGAAAACTGCAGTATAGAGTGTTTTCACTCACATGGCCAGCTTCTATCCAAATTCGTTGGAACAAAAGAAATTGTTTGCATAAGAAAAGAGTTCAACTCCCAGAGGATTGGTTTGGAACACCAACATGGCTGCCATTTCATTGTTTTGGAACACCAACATGGCCGCTGTGACATTGTGTGAAACACTCTGTTACATGCTATGTAAATCCAGACCTTACCTACCTCAACTCAGATGTTGGAACTTCAGCTAACTCTTCATTTGCACTGAACAAACCTAAGCTATTGACCATCTCAGTAGCACGCACAAATTGATCCACTGCTGTAGTGACCTTCTCCTGCAAAAAAGGAATTCACAGAGCGACGACCTTTAAGTGAATGAAGCCAAACATAAATATCAAGTGGCCTCACTACTTTCCCCATAGCTGAAACCTTAGCAGGGATGTCACTGTCAGTTGGTAAACAGCTTTTATAGCCAACTAATAAAACAAAGAAACCATATATACCTGTAAGATAATTTTTTCAAGTAGTAACGACTGATTACTTTTCCTGTGTGACTGGCTAGCTTCTTAACCCATTCGCCCCTGAACCGCCCGTAACCGCCCGTGCGGATCCACGTCCTTTCTACCCTTTGTGACGTCATCAGTTTTAACAGTCAAGGACAACTTTGTCCGCTAACTTGTGCAGAGTGAAGAGATCTTTCAAACCATACCAGAATGAGCACAATTCAGTCAAGGACACCGGAGAAAGAGGCAAAAAACCATGTAACATTGACCTGAAAATCTCCATGAAAATCTTGTTCCATTGCCCACCTACCTTTCCTTTCACCTAATCCTAAGATCGTAAAAGCTTTCCTCAAAACTATTCCTACCAAAATGAAGCCTACTAAATGCCCAGCAAGAGAAAAAAAAATGAGGCAAGAAAAGCGAAAAAAGAGGGGAGGAGAGAAAGCGAAAAGTAAAAGTCAAGACTGCTGTGTCACTTTTAAACCCAAAAACTATCTCGAAATTTTGCTTTCTGGGCATGCCCGAACTTCGCAAGCTGATAGTTTAGATCTGGATCAGAAGGCCAGGAAGTGTACGACCTGTAAACCGGTTTGTGGTAAGTTTTAGCTCTTTATAGCACGACAGTGACCAGAAAACCACTCGACTAGCTTCAAAACGCGTTTTTCAGCAAAATCTCCAGGAGCGAATGGGTTAAACCTTTACTTATTAACATTCACTCTACAAATAATTAAAAACATAATAACATCCTTTCAAGGAGAAACATCCAAAAGGGCCTACACATCATACTACATGTCATACTAGGGATGCTTAGACACTTAGTCCTGAGCTAAAGAGCCAGTCATTTTTTTAAAGCTTTGAAAAGCCGTTCAAGATCCTGTAAAATTCCAAAAATAAGCCCCTCGTTGTATAAGCCCCTCCAAATATAAGCCCCCCCATAACCGGTAATGCAAAAAACCCTCCGTTAAATCACCCTTCCAATTATAAGCCCTTCGGGAGCTTGTACTTGGAAAATTGCCCTCAAATACAAAGTAAAACAAAGCAAAAACGGTAAATTTAATTCCAACTGTAAGGCTAGCCTAATCGATTTTGAAACGCAAATTTCTTCCATAGATAAAGCCCCACCAAATATAAGCCCCTCCAAAAAAAAGCCCCTCAATGATTAGGGTAAAGCCCTGAGAATAGTGATTAGGGTATAAGGTAATAGATCATTTCGCCCCCGAGTCTTTTCGCCACAGTTACTAATAGCAGGCGCAGATCTAGGATAAATACTGACCGAGATCCTAAACGAGGGGCTGAGGGAGCAAGCTTCTAGGGATTTTAACCCCCTAAAATTCCCTTTTCAGGGTTTATGATTTATTGAGGGGGCATCTAATGCCCGGAAATTGGAAAAAGAAAACATCTGCTCAAACCATTTTTAAGATTTCAACTTGGAAAGTTCTATCATTACTGAAATTTGTTTATGTGAAAAATCTGACCCGTTACTGTAAAACGGTGGAAACCGGTGTGGATCCGCGCCTACTTAGCCCCTTATTTTCGATATTAATAGCAAATACAACTCGGTGTACGGGCCCCGTACGAATAGCCACTGGGTTTTAGTATTAAAAAGCTGAAACGAAGTGCAAGTTTTACATTTTCATTCCCATTTTTTGACATTTTAAAATAGGAATACGTATGATATTAACGTACATGTAAGATACTACCTGGAATCCTTCTGAATTGCTAGGTTCATCACTGTCTTCTATCTGGCAATGCAACAAAAATCCTTGTTCAAAAACATCTTTCAAAGAGTATTCCTCTTCAGCAGCGGCCATTTTTTTTTTATTTCACCTTTTCTAACGACACAATGATAACAGTACATAACGTATCCTTTTAGAAACAGCTATCCGCTGATTTGAGTATACGTAGGCTCGTAGGCATAAAGAGTTCTGGCATGGGAGCTTCGCGATTGCAAGTTCTCCGAGGAATTTTAAGGGAGCTAAAGCTGTTATGGCCAGTTAAGGTAATTAAATGGCTTTTGGATCATGAAAAATCTAACAATCGCGATGGCGTACTTGTCTCTGATGGCTTAGTCAGCGTGTCTGTCCTTCCCCCCAAGCATTTGTCGTCATGTCGGTCCCGGCGACAAGATGACAAGGATGATAAAGGTTCTGAACCACTTGGAAAGGCACCTCTTCTTGATTTGCTATTATCTTTAGGTGTTCTCAACAATCCCCTAGATCCTGATTTTTGTAGCGTGTGCGATAAGAAACTATTGCTGCTTGCTTCCCCTGGGTGGGATGGTGAGTCGCAATGATGTCCCCCTCTCCCCATTGCCAGTATAGACGGTTGAAACTGTTCACAAGCCCCCTGAAATACAGTAAAAACCCGCAACCAAGAACCTGTTAGGCTAAAATTTGCCAGTTAGGCCCCCCTTTATACAAGAACCTGTTTAGCCTAAAATGGGCGATTGCATTTAATATCCACCACCCCCCCCCCCCCCCCCCCGCACCCCGAGAAGCCACCCACCTGGCGCGATCAACGCTGCGCGTGCATTGAGAGGCAGTGTGAGAAGTAGGTAGATGATGAGGATAGTGAAGTGATTTTTATGTATATTGTTAGTATTTCTTTAGTTGTCTTTGTGTAGTAAATGGAACAAGTCACCCTCTTCCCTAGTCCCTCTCTTCAAAGTTGTTTTTGTCTAACAGCTCACATGTGCATCCCTGGTGTTACTGCAAACAACACTGGAATTAACCCACCCATGTAGGGGAGAGGGTGAATTGTCCTTCAATTTGTGACAGTAAGCATATTTGTCAGGACAGCTGCAAAAAAATATTTTTGTAGTGTGTCTTAACCGGTTTTGTCTCAGGTTGTAGGTAAACACAGCAACAGAAAAGGCTAAGTTCAGTTTGGCTGTATTACTAACTTAAAAAACAAATTTGATTAATTTTTGCTAAAACTGTAAAAACTTGTTGGTTGGTCTCTTGGTATTTTGGGTAGTTGCCTTTTGGAGGTTCAACTTTATCAAAATTAATGATTTCATGAAAACTGCAGTATAGAGTGTTTTCACTCACATGGCCAGCTTCTATCCAAATTCGTTGGAACAAAAGAAATTGTTTGCATAAGAAAAGAGTTCAACTCCCAGAGGATTGGTTTGGAACACCAACATGGCTGCCATTTCATTGTTTTGGAACACCAACATGGCCGCTGTGACATTGTGTGAAACACTCTGTTACATGCTATGTAAATCCAGACCTTACCTACCTCAACTCAGATGTTGGAACTTCAGCTAACTCTTCATTTGCACTGAACAAACCTAAGCTATTGACCATCTCAGTAGCACGCACAAATTGATCCACTGCTGTAGTGACCTTCTCCTGCAAAAAAGGAATTCACAGAGCGACGACCTTTAAGTGAATGAAGCCAAACATAAATATCAAGTGGCCTCACTACTTTCCCCATAGCTGAAACCTTAGCAGGGATGTCACTGTCAGTTGGTAAACAGCTTTTATAGCCAACTAATAAAACAAAGAAACCATATATACCTGTAAGATAATTTTTTCAAGTAGTAACGACTGATTACTTTTCCTGTGTGACTGGCTAGCTTCTTAACCCATTCGCCCCTGAACCGCCCGTAACCGCCCGTGCGGATCCACGTCCTTTCTACCCTTTGTGACGTCATCAGTTTTAACAGTCAAGGACAACTTTGTCCGCTAACTTGTGCAGAGTGAAGAGATCTTTCAAACCATACCAGAATGAGCACAATTCAGTCAAGGACACCGGAGAAAGAGGCAAAAAACCATGTAACATTGACCTGAAAATCTCCATGAAAATCTTGTTCCATTGCCCACCTACCTTTCCTTTCACCTAATCCTAAGATCGTAAAAGCTTTCCTCAAAACTATTCCTACCAAAATGAAGCCTACTAAATGCCCAGCAAGAGAAAAAAAAATGAGGCAAGAAAAGCGAAAAAAGAGGGGAGGAGAGAAAGCGAAAAGTAAAAGTCAAGACTGCTGTGTCACTTTTAAACCCAAAAACTATCTCGAAATTTTGCTTTCTGGGCATGCCCGAACTTCGCAAGCTGATAGTTTAGATCTGGATCAGAAGGCCAGGAAGTGTACGACCTGTAAACCGGTTTGTGGTAAGTTTTAGCTCTTTATAGCACGACAGTGACCAGAAAACCACTCGACTAGCTTCAAAACGCGTTTTTCAGCAAAATCTCCAGGAGCGAATGGGTTAAACCTTTACTTATTAACATTCACTCTACAAATAATTAAAAACATAATAACATCCTTTCAAGGAGAAACATCCAAAAGGGCCTACACATCATACTACATGTCATACTAGGGATGCTTAGACACTTAGTCCTGAGCTAAAGAGCCAGTCATTTTTTTAAAGCTTTGAAAAGCCGTTCAAGATCCTGTAAAATTCCAAAAATAAGCCCCTCGTTGTATAAGCCCCTCCAAATATAAGCCCCCCCATAACCGGTAATGCAAAAAACCCTCCGTTAAATCACCCTTCCAATTATAAGCCCTTCGGGAGCTTGTACTTGGAAAATTGCCCTCAAATACAAAGTAAAACAAAGCAAAAACGGTAAATTTAATTCCAACTGTAAGGCTAGCCTAATCGATTTTGAAACGCAAATTTCTTCCATAGATAAAGCCCCACCAAATATAAGCCCCTCCAAAAAAAAGCCCCTCAATGATTAGGGTAAAGCCCTGAGAATAGTGATTAGGGTATAAGGTAATAGATCATTTCGCCCCCGAGTCTTTTCGCCACAGTTACTAATAGCAGGCGCAGATCTAGGATAAATACTGACCGAGATCCTAAACGAGGGGCTGAGGGAGCAAGCTTCTAGGGATTTTAACCCCCTAAAATTCCCTTTTCAGGGTTTATGATTTATTGAGGGGGCATCTAATGCCCGGAAATTGGAAAAAGAAAACATCTGCTCAAACCATTTTTAAGATTTCAACTTGGAAAGTTCTATCATTACTGAAATTTGTTTATGTGAAAAATCTGACCCGTTACTGTAAAACGGTGGAAACCGGTGTGGATCCGCGCCTACTTAGCCCCTTATTTTCGATATTAATAGCAAATACAACTCGGTGTACGGGCCCCGTACGAATAGCCACTGGGTTTTAGTATTAAAAAGCTGAAACGAAGTGCAAGTTTTACATTTTCATTCCCATTTTTTGACATTTTAAAATAGGAATACGTATGATATTAACGTACATGTAAGATACTACCTGGAATCCTTCTGAATTGCTAGGTTCATCACTGTCTTCTATCTGGCAATGCAACAAAAATCCTTGTTCAAAAACATCTTTCAAAGAGTATTCCTCTTCAGCAGCGGCCATTTTTTTTTTATTTCACCTTTTCTAACGACACAATGATAACAGTACATAACGTATCCTTTTAGAAACAGCTATCCGCTGATTTGAGTATACGTAGGCTCGTAGGCATAAAGAGTTCTGGCATGGGAGCTTCGCGATTGCAAGTTCTCCGAGGAATTTTAAGGGAGCTAAAGCTGTTATGGCCAGTTAAGGTAATTAAATGGCTTTTGGATCATGAAAAATCTAACAATCGCGATGGCGTACTTGTCTCTGATGGCTTAGTCAGCGTGTCTGTCCTTCCCCCCAAGCATTTGTCGTCATGTCGGTCCCGGCGACAAGATGACAAGGATGATAAAGGTTCTGAACCACTTGGAAAGGCACCTCTTCTTGATTTGCTATTATCTTTAGGTGTTCTCAACAATCCCCTAGATCCTGATTTTTGTAGCGTGTGCGATAAGAAACTATTGCTGCTTGCTTCCCCTGGGTGGGATGGTGAGTCGCAATGATGTCCCCCTCTCCCCATTGCCAGTATAGACGGTTGAAACTGTTCACAAGCCCCCTGAAATACAGTAAAAACCCGCAACCAAGAACCTGTTAGGCTAAAATTTGCCAGTTAGGCCCCCCTTTATACAAGAACCTGTTTAGCCTAAAATGGGCGATTGCATTTAATATCCCCCCCCCCCNGAAACCTTAATTTTGACGAAATTCTTCAGGGGTATGACCTAATTCTTCATCGGATGAATGCAACTTTAGCCAATCTTCAGGGGTAAGAAGAAAAGGTAAGTCCTCAACCGGGGGAGGTATGGATATTAAAATTTTAATATCCATACCTCCCCCTCTTTTGAGCCCCCACACCGCTCTCTAATAAGCCCCCATTTTCAGGGGAAGAAAGTTAATAAGCCCCCCTCTGTTTTAAACCAACCCCCCTGCACCCTCCCCCTTATCATTCTTTATGTTGAACGTGTTGAACTGTATTAATCAGTCACGACTGTGAAACTTTATGTGGACTGATCTGGGATGGTTTATTCACCAGCTGGAAGTTTGGATTTGTTTTTGTCCCTCAGCTGCATGACTTCCAACTTCTTGTACTTGAGCTTTTCCACTTTGTATTCTAGTTCTTTATGGAGACTCATTTTCTTGCTGTAATAATTTTTAGGAGCCAGTCATATCAACATTCGAAGGACAGTTCCTTATTTCAGAGTATCGTCAGTTTTCTAAGGCTGGAGAGACAGTGGCAAACATACTTTACTATGACAGCCTCTATTATTTATGCTTGCTGAAAAGCCAGAGAGAGGCAATGGTGAGTTGGATCAATTTAGATGTCTGGGAAACTACCCACCTACCCCTCCCCTAACCCAGCATTTTGCCCCAAGTGAGACGCAAATTTTAACATTGAGTTAAGGGAGGGGTCGGTGGGGAGTTTCCCAGAAACCTTAATTGATCTGGTGAGTTTTCTTTTTATGGTCTTGTCAATCAAAGTACATGAATTTCGTTTTTAATCACTTGAAAGCCTTACATCAGCATGCATATTCTCGATACTGTACCCCATAACATTTCCTATGGTGGTCATAAAAATATCTTTAATATCAAAGTGTATTGTAGTCTTGTTGATCATTTTCTTTCTTGCTGATCATTTTCTTTTTTCTCTCAACTTCATGTTTTTAAAGTAAGCTTTGTTGCTATAGGGAGAAATTGAATGTTCTTCTCTGTCAATTTGAGTCTTTGCGTACACATTTATCTTTTTTTCTCACAATTCTCTGTGCATGTGTTATGAGTGATTTTAAAAGGATTTTTAAGCCTTTACACTTTATTTTACAGGGTCTTTTCTTGAGATACAAAGGAAGAGGAGAACGATCTGTGGAGGAAACAGCTGGCTTAGTAGGTTTTAAACTTCCTAAACAGTACCAAGATCCTTGAGATTATAGATGGAAACATACATTGGTGGTGTTGTTAATAATGAGCTATACTGGAACCACATCAGCACGTGTACAAGCAAGTGTTATAAGCTGTGGTCTCAAAGAAAGTCAAGAGGATTTATTGATCATAATTTAAGGATAAGTGCCTCTCAAAGATACTTCTTTCGATTGGCAGTGATTTCTGAATATTACAAAAAGCAGTGGTATTTCCAGAAGGGGGCTAAAATGGGACAATACAAGTGACTGCTATTGCATGAACAGATAAATCGGCTTAACCTACATGTACCAAAGGAGATAAAAGGCAGATAGCAACACATTAATGGCAATCAACAAATAGTAGAGATTACTGCTTGATCAATCTTTCCTGCCATTTACCATATTTACCACCTTTCGCAAGTGAGCACTAAATCTCCAAATTTGGGGTACTCGCTTACAAGAGGTTTGACCGTATTGACATTATCTTTAACACTAGTAATTATAGCCAAAGGTTATGGAGTGCAGGCGACAATGATCGAAGGTCAAAATGCATTTGCTCCAGGGCTGTGCTTTCCGTAAGTTTCACGTGACAGATGGTCAAAACATGCATCATCAGATTAGGAGTAGTAGGTTCAAACGCACGTGATCAAAGTGCATTCTGCGCAGTCCATACATTCTTAGTCGAAGTCCAAACGAATGCTGGCTACATACATGCGACGCATGCGTAATAACAACTTGAGGTTAGGATTGTGGGCTCCACTTGTCACCCGCAATTACAGTGGAACTTGATAAAACGAACCTCTAAAACATGAAGACCTTGTTATAACGAACATTATTTTTTGCCCCAGTAACAATAAATTATATGGAAATAAACCTCTATTTAACGAAACCTTGCTATAATGAACAGATTTTGACAGTCCCTTGGCCCTTCGTTATATCAAGGTTCCTCTCTAATGAGTAAATTGAAGTCTTTAATAAAGACTAAACTGTGCCTTATTTTTCCAACCCACTTCCATGGGCTTTGGACATTCTTATCACAGATTCTTTCTCTTGCTTAAACAACAAAACAGACAAGGAAATGATACAGCTGGAATGGTTTTATTTTGTCACAATCAAACTCATACACTTCTAACCAAAGCTTTAATGAAAGCAGGAAGTTTCAAATACCAGAATGGCAACAGTGGCAAAAACATCACCTTAAAAATAATTGACTTCACGTTCTTTGAAACATCAGAATGATTATCCCAACTTGTTCACTTTGTCAAACGCAGGCAAACTTTCCTAGAGTTTGTCTCTAAAAAATGTCCAGGTTTAATAAGAAAGAAAAATTTGTTGTAAATATATTGTTTACATACCCACAACTTGAAATTAGGTAGTTTCAATTCAAGTCAAAGTCATACAGTGACAGCAAAGAAAATGTACAAGACAGTAGTGTGCTGCACTTGCAAAGTTTTTCACTTTTTGAGATTCTTGTTGCCATCGCCGTCATGACATCTTGGACTCTCTAGTTATAAGTCCAGTGAATGCAGTGGCCAATGTTCCAGTCCTAACTGAACTATCAGTGGGATGCCCTGACTCTCAAAAATAATCCCTATCACAGTGCCTCAGCGTCGCAGTTGTCAGTTTTGGTCCAATGTTAGGGGAAACCAGCTCCCTTTTCTAGATCTGCCACTACAACTTTTATTATTACAAAATAAAAATGTTTATTTTAAAACAAAGCCTGTAACTGATCTTTTTGAAATAACAAAAGTTGAAAATTTGCAATTAATGATAACACTCATGAAGAATATAAAAGCTACTTACAAGTTCATGGAATAATAAAAAAAACTAAGCAAATCATAATTAGTAATTACGATTTCACATGTTATTATTTACAACCCACCTTCTGAAGAGAACCAATTTTTGCCATTTTTAAAGTCAAACATTCATTTAAACATTTTATTGTTTAAATGGATGTTTTAATTGATAATTAAAATTATCAATTACCCTTCCTTTAATAATATTAAAGACTCAAATAAAAACTTGTAGACTGCAAGCAGTCGTCCTTCTTTCCTGAACCACGCTCAGTGAGCAAAAAGGTAAAATTAGACAAATTAATGGCAAAAAAGGAGGAGGGGTGGGGAGAGGAAAAAGGCTCATACCATAAAATTCCAAAAATAAGCCCTGGGGCTTATATTTTTCAAAGGCCCTTTTGGAGGGAATTATCTACGGAGCAAAATCTGCATTTCAAAATAGATTGGCCTAGCCTTATAGTTGGAAGTGAATTTACCGTTTTTGCTCTGTTTTACTTTGAGGGCAATTTTCCAACTACAAGCCCCAGGGGGGGCTTATATTTGGAGGGGCGATTTAACAGAGGGTTTTTTACGTTACCGATTTGGGGCTTATACATGGATGGGCTTATTTTTGGAATTTTATGGTATTTTATTTTTTCATTGCTCGCACTCTGCCCTTGTTTCTCACAGTTTCGCCGCTCACCCTCATGCATGCCCTCGTTTCTCGAGCACACATTCTATGGTGTCTTTGAAAAAAAATAAGAGACTATTTGCAATCTAAAAAACTTGCTATGTGTTTTGAATTTCACACCTCAGTTGATAACAATTTGATTCAAATCAAGAAAATAAATGTGATCATTTCAATACCACTCCTTTGGATGAATAAATAAATAAACGCAAACTATTTGAATAAATAGTTTTAATTAGTGGACAGCACTTTCTTAGTTACATAGACCTATTTAATCTAAAGTAAATTTACATGACATACTTAGCATTGTCTTTTATGTACTGCTAAAAAATATCACTCTACAAGTGCAATTCACTTGAAAACAAACATCTTGCAACATTAGTAAGCTTTTCTCACACTCTTGAAAAAAAAAAGCTGATTCTGGCAGTCTATCATTAAATTTTACTCTAAAATCAAAAACAATTAAAATATGTACTGTCAAACTACATGTAAAAAAGTGATCTGACCGCTGTACAGTCAAAACCTTTTAAAATGGACGCCAATGAAGCAGAGGTATCCTTGTTATAGTGGTAAGATTTTTATGGAGTTTTTTTTTTAGCTTTTATGGGGCCATAGAACTGTCCATTTATTATCAGGATAATTAAAAGAGATATTCAGAGCCTTGACTGTATTTTTAACAGACCTTCCACCAAAACAAAAGGCTGTTAATTAGACCATTCTTGCACAGACAAGTGATTTTGTGTCACCTTTTATATATGCTAACAGTATTTTATCATTATGATTTTTATATTTACATGATTTTAATCAAGGTAGCTCTAAAAAACAGCATCTTCATGCGATACTGTGTACTGGTCTCTGTGGTCATATGAGGTGAAAGGCTCTCAGCAAGACTTAACCAGATGAAGCCTTAAACATAGCTAGCACCTTTAGGTTGAGGTTGGAAATCAGCAATTAAATTCTCCTCGAAAGAAACTGAAATATTTATGGAGGAAGCAAAGTGATTGGTTGCTAAGTTGAAGTTCCATAATCCTTGAACCATCATCATTCTTTCCTCAAGCTCCTAGGGCTGGTTGGATGAAGAAACTTGAACTAAGTGCAAATTTTCATGAATGTCAAACATTCCCAATGGATTTTATTGCATGGTTTCAAGGATGGCACAACACCCTATGGTCTGCTGATTAATTTTATCACAAGATCTAAAAAAATAAATTATTGAGTTCGGTATGGATAAGTCAGCCAAAAAGCAAGGGCATATTAAGGAAACACTCTTTCCAAAATCCACCCACACCCACATCTCTCTCTTTCTCTCCAGAGGGGAAGAGAAAACAGACTCTGGAAACAAGGTTGAAACTACACAATTTCAGTCCACTTCCTGCCAATCTTGCCCTTGCAAAATAAATTATTAAAACAAATTTGATACAGTTTTCATGTACGTATCAGTATAGCAACTTTTAGGAGGACCGCTCCAATGCAGATTTTCAATGGCACAAACACTTCAGTCTGTGCAATGTTCAAGTGTACAGTTTGTCTCTTCATTAGATCATACATTTGAGACTGTCATGTATAGAACCTTGCCTGCTTAGTCAAGGGAATCTATACTTTGACTAAGTATAAGGCACTTCACTTGCAGATCTCTGCTCAACATGCTGAGTATTCTCTGGTGATGTGGTAGCAGCTTCAGCAACAGAGTGAACAATACTGTCGTCATGCACTTGAGCATAGCTCACAGCTGTAGTGGATGCTGCTGTGTGGGAGCTTTTCACCGGGCTTCCATCAGATGACAAGCATACAAGGGCCTTTACGCGGTCTTCTGTGAATGAGAACTGTCCTACTGGCATGTTGGTAAAGTCAAGTTTAGTTGGAGATTCTCTGTCCTCTGTGCTTGGACTTTCCTGTTTCTTAGCATCAAGTTCAGCCTTGAGTGAGTGAACAGCACGACCTTTTCCAGACACCATGCGCTTCATCATCTGTTTTCGGTTACAAAACCATACTCGTACAGTGACAGGTTCCAGACCTAATTTTGAAGCAATGTCCACAATTTCAGCACTGGTGGGCTTTGAATTTTGTTCAAAAGTTTTAATAAGAAACTGGAGAGTTTCGTTAGTGAAGGAGGTCCTTCTTTTACGCTTTTTGCACATTCGCAATCCTTTGGCACACTCTGCTTCTTTTTGTTCAATCCATTCTTGCAAAACAGGTTTCATTTTCTCCGCTGCCTTCAGACCAAGATTCTTAGATTCAAATCTGGAGATAAATGACTGACTGTAAGAAGAATGTCCGTTGGTGTGTGACAATTCATTACCCACATCTTCCTGGGTGTATCCCAGTGCAATCCTTCTTGCCCTAAAAGATTCAATAAAGGCCTTCATGTCTGCGGTCAAACAGCTATCTGCAAGAGTGCCAAATATCTGGGCTGAGGAATTTGACAAATCAGACAGCTCGGGAGCAGTGCCTTGGGCAATTTCTTGAGATGAAGGTGCCTCCTCTGCTTTTGCTTGTTGGATTTGAGGGACAGCTGCTGTAGGTGGCAGGGCAAGAGAAGCGGTGGAAATGGTATATGGTGGGAACCCTGTGATAACGCCTTCTCCACTTTGAGAAACTGGCAGAGGTTGAATATGAGTTGTTATAAAGTGGCCCACCTGTGGATTTATCAAGACACATTCAATGCTTTCTAAATGGACATCTCTTAAAAGATGGACACTGCCCTAAGAGATGGATGGGCCTCCTTTCTCATCAGTCCTCTTCTTTGTTTCTCTGAAAGGCGGACACCTCTTTTAGAGGGACACTAAGGTCACTTTCCAAGATTCACAACTGGCCAGCCTTACTGGAAAATTGGAAAATAAAATATTGGTCTTTACCCAAATTTTTCCTACAACCCAGTGCTGCCGAGCATATGATTTATAAAACATAAGACTGATCTGACTGAAAACTCATGATTAATAGAGCAATTCTCTTTACAACTTGACTGGTCTGGCTGCCCAGTTCTCATATGGAAAGCACCCTTACTGTCAGTCCCAGAGGTATCCATCTTAGACACAGCTGACTGTAATCCAGTTTTCTCTACAATTTTCTCTTCATTCCAGTATTGAGTTACTCATCCCTACTTCAACCCTCCAAGTTAAAGTTTTTGCTTGGTCGCCATTTGGCAACCAACTCTTTTGGTTTAGGGAGACCTTTTTACAAATCAAGTCGCCAACTCCAAAATTTTGGGCACCATAGCAACCAAAATGGTCACAACTTGGAGGGTTGTACTTCCCCAGTAGATGGCATGCTAAAAAGTCACACTAGTCAGGGGTGTCAGTGGCTCTGAAAATGGTCCAGAGGGGTTAAGAGAAATGTTCTTCTTCTGAGATTATATTCAACCATAACTTCAATCATAGTAATGACTTCCATATTCCAGACCACATACTGTAGCTTTTATACCTGTATACAGTCAAATATTACACAAGACTACACAACTGAAATGGCGTCGAGGAATAATGAAACATCAAAATATTTACCCTGGATGCCTGATAGTTAGTGGCAATGCATAGAGAAAAAAACTGAGTCCATCACTTTAAAAAACAATCATGAGTGGCTGCAGTTTACAGAGGACAAGGATATCCAAAGATGGTCCTCTAGAGTAAGGATACAAAATTATTTTGATGTTCTTTGAATTAGTATTTTTTTTACTGTTAATAATGGTAAAAGGACTCAGCGGAGTCTAATTTGGTCTGTAATCATACAAGAGATTAACACACAGGAGTCGGATTTGTTTAATCAGCAGTATGATTGGAGCCGAAAAGGGAAGACACAAATAAGTTCTGTTCACAATTTATCGTATCTACAACAAAGTTAGTGATATTTTCAACCTTTTAAAACACACGTATTGCAGTCCAGTTACTTACAATGTAGGCATGACTCATACTGCCCTCTTTATTATTAGTGCTGAAATCAGGACAGCTGAAAGCCAGTCACATTTGAGAATTCTGTTATAGTTATGATTAATAATTTTGCATCCTTGTCATATAAGACAATTCAACTTACCTGAACTGTGGCTGGTATCTGATTGCTGTTTTGACAAAGTTGATCAGTCAACATAACTGATCTTGTATTACCTGTATCAACATTAACAGCAAAAAAAACATTTTACGTTTTTTTTTTTTTTTTTATCATTAGAAGTGACAAAAACCCAAATAATTTGCAAAATTTCAACTTTGATGTCCTCCCCAACAAGCCTTTCCTAAAATTTAGGATTGGCTTAATAGCAGAGCTCCAAGCAAGTGGAGCCCCAGAGCTAAGAAAATCTATCCATCCTAGAAAATTTGGTAATCGGGTGACCGTATATTGCCCAACCGAGTGACTGTCCGTCCATACCACAGGCATACCAATGGAAAATAAGTCAACAGTCTACAGAAATGGCAACCCAAATGCAGCTCGAGCTTATTTTGGCAGGGAATCGTGTAGCCACCCGTGTATTGTGAAGCAGAGACAACTAAAGAGTCAATAAAGAGAAAAAGAGAAAATAGGCGACCGGCCAGCGAAGCTTAATGAGAAAACTGAGAGCGACAGAGAACTAGAGCAAGAGAAAAAAAAAGGATACATTTTTTGTTGGTAGAACAACATGAAAATTTTGTAACAGTGGTGAGAAAATGAGAAATGCTACGGGCCACCAAGGTGAAAATGAGCGGCAGTGAAAAAAAAGTGAACAAGAACACGTACATTATTTTCTCCATGAAACGTGTAACCAGGAAGTTTCTGGAAGTTTCTCATTGTAGTCGTGCAAAACAATGGCAAAGTAATGTTTAAAAAAAGTGTGCTGCATGTGCAACGTTGCTTTTTTGCTAATTAACTATTGTTGTGCTTTCACCATTCTCGTTGCCCTCACCACTTAGCATCACACGATTTTATCGTTATTTTTATTTTGTTTGAGCAAACTATAAATATTATCGAGAGCTTTGCTTTTAGCCATGGCTAAATCTATATATGATATGTTGTTTGGAACCATTTTTTCAAAATACAAGCAATCATTAGTGAAGGTCATACTAGCTGAATGAACCATAAATCCTCTATTAAGCTCCTCAGGGGGCTTATTTAATTCAAGCCCATAAATTTTAAAAGGATTTATAGTGGTTTAAAATTCTTTAAAATCATTATAGGTTAACTAATCTGGAGGTTAATAGATTTTCTGCAATGTGCAAAAAAATGAAGTCTTCTCTGAGAGCAGAGTAAAAACAGTAGTGCAAAGTAAATAAAAGAACACCTGGATTTGTGTTGGAATGGAAGTGGAGTTAATCAGCATTAAAAAGGGTCTGAGTCAAGTGGGTTGAAAACATTTTTAAATGGATTGGGGTTTGTTCAAGCCAGATGACCCTTTGTAGGGGACGGTATGGGGATATTCTCTGTCTTGGGTGAAAATGACACACATGACAGTAGTAACCATGCACAGGCCAACCAAGTTCATGATTTCAGCTGTTCCTTATTTGACAAAACAATGAACACTAACATGGAAATTTTTGCCATTAAGGCATCTTGACATAATAAGCTGGGTGTTAGTGGAGTTCAGCTTATTAACTGCACTTTTCAATAACATGCAAACTCTGCATTTTAAAAGACAGCTTACATGCAGTTGCATTTTTTGCTACTGTCAATCATAATTACGATAACGGGCAAAGAAATTTGAAACACAGAAACTTACAAAGCAGCAAAGCAAAATCCACCAATCATAAATCACAAACTATGAACTTTTGAACTCGGCGAAGTGAACCTGCGTTTCCTAAGAGGTTCACTAGGATTAATGACGGCAGTGAAGAACACAAATGTTTGTTGGCTTTTGGACTTGAGACTTTGCATGTTTTTGAAAAGAGCAGTAAACATGCTTTCGCCAAGCTAAATTTAACTTTGGAAATGTTAGAGAAATTCCACATCTGTGCTGTGTATGTGTTTGTAACAGTGATTTTGCTAGAGATTTTGATACAATGTAACACAATCAATCAATCAATCATTTATTTTAACACGTTACGTCAAGGAGCTGAAAACACTCGTTCAAATACGAGCAAGTATAAATAAAATCTATAATAATTACAGCTACACTATAATAAGCCTGCAAAAACAGACATTCTTCCCCACTCCCCATCACCAGGGACACCCCACGAGGAGGAACATCCACGACTCAGCAACAGAAACCCCACACCAATGACATAACTCAATGTTTACATAATAAATCTAGTAGCCATGAGGTTCCAAATGCTCATGAGAATTAATACAAAGAAAATGATAATATTAATAAATAAGTTATAGTCATAAAGAAATAAAAAAACTGAGAGAAAAGATTCTCAATTATTCTGAAAGTCTGTTGGTTTTGCCTTGCTTTATTTTTGGCATTTTCTCTTATCTTGAATTTTTGATTTTTCAGAAAAGAAAGAAGATCATGGCAAATATTACACCTTTCAAGGAATAATATTTGTCATTTTTTTCCAGATGTATGTAGGCTTACATTTTAGCATTTACTTCTCCACGTTTTATGTCAGCAGACCAGGTTAAGGGCAGGACATGTTGGAGTGCAACAGCAAGAGCTACTAATGACAACAACTGACATTCATGACATTTAATTTACTTGCTTCTTCAATTAGTTACAAAAAAAATTAATGTTACAGTGCTTCACACAATGACCGTGATTTTTATTAGAAAAGTAACATACACAGAGCTTTAAGTACCTTGCAACACAGATGAAGCTAGAAACTGTTGATGCATTTTCTTAAGATCAATCACAATCTTCTCTTCAATTTCTTTGCCAGTCTCCAGCTCCGAATCTGACATCCATATGGCTGTCTCTTGCGTCGGCGTGATTATCACTACAGTTTTCTTGCGGGTTTGTAAGATGTTGGACACCACCACCTGGTAACCAATGAAATAATTGGTTTTGGTATGAGAATAGATTTCATAACTAGAGAAATTTCCCCTTTTACACAAGAGGAGATGCCAAAACTCTCTTTTTTTCCCCCCCCCCCCCCCAACCTCCCCGCCAAAAAAGAGAAAATCAATTATTAACCTCCCCACCCCACCCACCCCAGATAAACAGAAATTGACATGGGGTGGTCTTGGAGGCTATGTGAAGTCTTAAATGCATGATGTAAAGTACGTCAAAATTCACTTTTATGCTCGTTCCCAATCATCCACAGATTATCTAATTCCCAGCTAATAAATAATAAAACAGATCCATATATGGCCACGGACACAAAATTCGAAACAAGACACTAAATTCAAACAAGATTTTAACACACCTGGTGTGAGTATTTAGCTAAAGCCCGTCTTGCTTTCTTGGAGATAATGTTCACATCTGTTTCTAACTGCAAAGAGAATGAATAGCAAGGGTTAATAAACACCCGGGGGGGAGGGGGGGTTACTGCCATATATGGGCTATATAGGTATGTGCCGCTGTGAAGGGTATGGTTTTCAAGCAGTTTACTCTAGGATAGGGTATATAAATCAGAGTGTTTGGGTCTAGAATAGGGTATCATTTTTCAGGAAACTGATCAGTTGGTTGAAGATTTTATCTAGACCAGGGGAACAGCTACTCTAGCATAGGGGGATTTGGGGAGTTTACTCTAGTATAGGGTAGCAAAATTCAGCTGAACTAGCTCTGGTATGGGTTAAGGGTTCCAGGGTCCCAGCAGCACATCCCCACCCAGAAATTCCTAAAGTACCCCCCGCCCCCTTCGGGAATAAACAGCAGGTTCAAAACGCAGGTCACAAGTGCAGGTTAGAGTGCAGGTCACCGTGCTACATACAGTAAATAAACAACAATGAAAGTGTCTCCTCCTAGCCCTAATCACAATCTGAAATAGAGTTTTAAATTAAGGGAACACTGCTTATGTCAGTTACATGATTATGTATTTATCAATAGCGCAGTGACCTGTAGTTGTGACCTGTGTTTTTTACCTGCCAGTCAAGAAGGTCGAAGAAAAGATATCACCAGTACACTCTGATGTAATGCTTGCCTGAAAAACAGCTGATGTTTTGCATTGCAACCACTGATTTCCCAGCAAAATGAAATCTATGAAAATTAATTTTTAACCAATCAGAAGCACTACCCAGGTTGTGACACTTCATCAGTATGGAATTTCTGTAGTCATTTCTCAGATGTCATTTTGCAGCCTGGAAACTGGTGGTGACATCGTAAAATATCAGCTGTTTTCTCAGGGTAGTGTAACAATGAAGATAAACAGAATAGTAAGGAAAGCTTTAAAGCTTTAATGTACCTTGAATGATACGGTGAATGCTTGTGGAATCCATTCTTTAACCAGAGGAGCCATCATTTTTGGAGCTTGCACCAAGTGAAGCTGGAGTGGGCCATCAGCAGACTGTATCTTATGCTCTGGCTTTAATGAAAAAAAAACATTCAAGAAAATCATGTCACGTAACCTCCGAGTATTTTTAAGCACAAAGGTGAACACCTTAAGGAAACAACCAACTAAAAGTTGTGAAGAAATAATACTAATGCATAACCAAAAAGTTTCAAGATCAGAGACTGTTATTCCACTCTCCCCCAGACCCCACCCTGGATGATTTGCCTGGGCCCTTGCCAGTTGGGCAAGTAATCTTTAAAAGTAACATGCCCAGGTAGAAAATCTACTTGTCCTAGACTAACAGACAAGACCTTTTTCGAGCTCTGACAATTTACACACTGATTGACAAAAATTAACGCAATGACCAGTGAAAACAAGTTTAGTCACCTCCTGGGAAACATCTGATATCATGCTTTCAGCATTTTTATTTTAGTTCGTGATAAATGGAAAATGCTGGGATCAGTGTCTGTTGAAGAGGGAGTTAACTTGCTCTGAATATTGAGATGAGCTGTGTCGGTTTTGCCCATAATAATAAAAAATATTCATAACTACTAAATAAAAGTAGTATGTGTATTGACCAAGACCCTCAACATAGGCTATTCATGATGACATGACTTAAGACTCCACCCTAGCAATATCTACAGGGATAGTGGAATTGAGATTCCTGAAGCATGGATGCCAACAATCAGACAACTTAGTACCGATCCCTATGACAATGGACTGCTGAGGGAACAGTTTCCTCCTTTAATACTGCCAACAATGCTTTAAATCAACCAATGCTGGTGTAAATGTCTACACATATGCCACTCCTCGATGCAAATGTTTTTAAAGAATACTATTAATTTTACTCTTCAACAAGGATGTGACTAATGCTGGTGACCAGGGATTTGCCCTGGCTACTACGAGCATGACCCCAGGCTAGTTTCAAAGGGAAAAAAAGGGAAATAGAACTAGAAGAACTTCCTTACTGTTCAATTCCCTGCCCACTAATTGCATTTAGTATATACTAAAACAGTGGATAGTGTTTTTCGGGCACTCTGATTGGCTACTCAATCAGTGAATATCCTGCACTATTTACTGATTCACCTCCAGTTCCTCCGAGCGAGTGACGCCAAACTCGCATAGGTTGCGAGCAAAATGCTTTCCCGGTTTGCTGCCGTAACAAACTAAGAAATTTCACAACTAATCAAGCAAGCTATTTCCAAAATACATGAAGAAGGTGACGAAGTTCGGTTTGGAAGTTTTAACAGGTAAAGCTTTGTCTTTTTGACTTGAATAGTTATCGATAAAACCGGTGAAAAAGTTTTTTGTTTACAAATGCAAATTAAGCTCAAGTCTTCCGTTACTTTATTTAGTGGACTTGTTCATAAATAAGCTTAAAACTGAATTTAATAATCTTTTTTACAGAATTATTTTAAATACAAACAGAATTCACAACTCCTTTTGAAGAAACTTCCCCGCAAGAGCTAAACAAACGCCTTCAAAAGTTTTATTTGTCGCTAAGAAAAAGCGACAACCGTGGTCATTCGGTCCTCGCGCACCAAAATTGTAATCGTTGGTAACAGTAAATGAGTTAAAAATCATCATTTTGTGCTCAATTATCTCACTGTTTTAGTATATACTAAAACAATTATTCACCTCAGTGTCGGTGGCTAGTAGTGGATATTTACCTCGCCACTTCGCAGCCTCGGTAAATATCCAATACTAGCCACCTCCACTTCAGTGAATAATTGTTATATATCCAGCAGATTAGTATGAGTTGTAGTGATATTTGGCATAAATACCACGAGTGATATTTCAAAATTATTGTTATGCGTAATTTCATGAGCCGTTAGGCGAGTGAAGTTTGAGACAATTTCAAAATATCACATACAAATCATGCTATTATTTGTTTATACTACTACCCGCAAAAGGTTTGTAATTTTCACATGTAGGTATTTCAAATTAAGCTGAAATACAACTGCTCTAAACAAATCAAATTTCAGAAATTTCTCTTGTTGTAGCATAAACCTAGTAACAGCACTGCTTCATGATTGCAAGACTGACAAGGAGTGAAGGACAGTAAACTGTAGGCTCCTGGGGTCCACAATAGGGACCTTAAGCATCGATGACAGTGACAGTGGTGAAAACATCACTATAGTTTACTATTAAAATAAATTCAAATTTTTTCAAACTTTGTCCCAAGGGTTTATTCCAACTGGCTTAAAATGTTAAATTTAAGTAAATTTTCCTGCAGTTGAATTCTTAGGGACTGCACCCAAGTTCAAAAAGAGAAAGAAAAATTTGTTGTCATCTGTTTACATCCTACATAAGTCATTGCATACGCAGATTTCACATTGTGGTCTGCAGGAACGGCAAACAAGTGTACAAGAAAGTGTTCAGCATGTGCGAAGTTGTTGTTTTGCTTGTTGGCCCTATTGCTTTTTTGGCATCCCCACCGCCATTGTCACCGTCGTATACTAAAGTCTCTAAATAACGGAATTTAACTGGAGATGTTGAGTATAATTTTTCAAACTTACCATATCCTGGGATGGAACATAAAAGTCAGAAACTGCAGCTGCCAAATACAACATGATAGAGGGGCCATGGGGTGCAAGAGATTCAGCCACGCCCCTTAGAAGGAATAAATACTCAGATAGAGTGTTATACTCAATCATGAGTAATGTCCCTGCAGCTCGTACCTTAAATGAAACATTAAAGATGAACTA